ACATGTTCGGCAAACTACAGACATGTCTTTCAGTGATGGGCCATCTCACTTTTGCGGTCACCCAAGCTGCAGGTATCAAAACAAGGCAGTTGTTTCTGTCTAAAGCGAAAAGCAAGTCATAACTTCTTAATGGATGGGTCTCCCTTATAAATCAGTCACTCTATTGTACTGGCTAAAGAGGAACATAGTGTCCATTAAAGAATTTTAAAAGGTTTGGACTGTTACAGCAAGAAGAATCTTTTTACCAGCAAATTGGATTTAAATTTGAGGAAGAAACTAGTGAAATGCTACATTTGGAGCATGGCTCTGTATGGGGCTGAAACATGGACATTTAGGGCAGTAGAGCAGAAACATCTGGAAAGTTTTGAAATGTGGCGTTGGAGAAGGATGGAGAATATCAGTTGGGCCGATTATGTGAGAAATGAAGAAGTGTTAATTAGAGTCAGTGAGCAGAGGAATATCCTACACGAAATAAGAAAACGGAAGGCTAATTGGATTGGTCATCTCTTACGTGATAACTGCCTTCTAAAAGAAGTTATTGAAGGAAAGATAGAGGGGCGGATAGAAGTGACAAGAAGACGAGGAAGAAGACGTAAGAAGATGCTGGATGACCTTGGGGACAGAAGAGGATACTGTCATTTGAAGCAGAAAGCTCTAGATCGCATTAAGTGGAGGAATTGTTTTGGAAGAGATTGTGGACCTGTCGTCTTGATAGATTACTGATGATAATGATGATGATAAACTACGCAACTGCAGGGTTGTTGAGGGGTTGAGAGGGGAATGATTGATAGATCATTCATTGTTATGATGCAAGAACTTGTTAAAGCCCACCACTTATTCATTCCTAACTACTGTAAAGTCTGAATTAATTTTTCTTAAAGTTTAAAATCCATTACCTTACATGGAAAGCTTAATAAAGTTTTATTATGTACAGAAATCATGTCTTAATTAATCTGATTCAATACTGCAACTGGGAGTATTTTATGGTTTTCTTTGTACCACCCCCGAAAAAACATTTTTTCTTCTTGGAACAATGAACTGAATACAGTGAATACTTTCGGTTCCACCACTATCAACAAAACAAAACTGCCATTAAGAGCACTACCTTTTGGGACACAACGCCACTAGTCTTTTGAAAATCAATAAACATCTCAGAGGAATATGTTGACACCATATTCAGGATCAAAGAGTAAGCCAAGCAAGAAACCAGTGTGAAAGCAAATAGCAAGCACAGCTGGTTTCTTTCTTGGCGTACTCTTTGACCGTGAAGAAAGTGGCAAGCCGAGCTGGTTTCTTGCTTAGCTTATTATTTGACACTGAAGATGGTGACATGTTCCTCAGAAATGTTGGTCAGCTTTCAATGAACTACATGGCGTTATATCCCAGGAGTCAGAACTCTTTATGGCAGTTTTTTTTAGGGTGTTGGCACTGAAAGTATGCATTGTATTCTGTTCACTGTTCCATGAAGACAAAAAGGATGTTTTTTGGGTACCACTGGAGCAAAGAAAACCATAAAATCCTCCCAGTCACAGTAATGAATCAGGATTATAACATCACATCTGAAATATAAGGCCATTCATGTACTGGAGATGCAGTTTCAGGGTATCACTCTTATGATTGACCTGACCAAAGAAAGCTGTAAACCTGCCCAAATCACAGTAATGAGTAACTGAGTTGTAGCACCATACATTTCAAGTATAAGGTTTATAAGTAGGGCTCGGATTTTTTGACCTAAACACTTTGAAATATGCATGCATTTATGCCCTAAAAATGGCAAAATATGACAGAATGGCCCACAAAAAATAAGTAAATATTTAACAAAAATTCATAAGAATGGTAATTTATTAAGAAGTTTACAAAGTTATTTTGTCCTGAATAAATATCTTTAAGCTCTGAAGCATCGATCACAGCACATTGCTGACCCCATAAAGAGAAAAGCTTAATGGCGCTTTATTGAAGTGTACAAAGTTATTTTTCCTGAATAATGTCTTTAAGCCATGATGCATCCATCACAACACAATGCTGACCCTGTAAAGAGAAAACATGAACGAGCGCATTGTTTATTTTAGCGTGAAAAGTAAAGTGTGCTAATAGTTGCAGGTAAATAATTTGTACGGTACCTTAATCTTCCTTTTCAGTAGAGTTGCACTGAATGACAACATGCATTTTCAAATTCTCGAACTTGAAGGACCT